TTATCCGCTTTTCGAAAAAAGATAGCTTAAGTTATTATAGTTGTCCATTGCTTCAATCCTGCAACATAGGAGTGGAATGAACAGCCATTATGACCAGCTATCCTCTTTCGAAAAACAAATCATAGGAAAGCAACATTATACGTATAGAATATTTCTATTATTTTTTAGATGGATTACGGACTTTAGCAAGTCAAGTAGATGAAAGTAATGGCATGTTAAGGTCTTGTAAAGAACTTGTTGCAGAATCGTGCAAGTACTTTGAATCTTTATCTGATATTGCTACACAAATAACGTTATCTATTGCATTAATCAATATGTGTCAATCATTAATGAAACATTCTGAGTCTTATACAAAAGAAAACAAAGAAAAATATGGTAAGAATCATTATACATATAGAGTTTTACTAATAGTGAGATTACATATACACGAGTTCTTGTTATTTTTTTTAGCAAACATGGCATATGGATTTTTATGTCTTCAATGGCCAGAGGATAAACATTTCAATCCTCAATACAAACGTGCAGTAACTGGATTACTGAACAGTTGGATTGACAATGAACCAATGCAATTGAAGACGGTTACTTCAGTATTAGAATGGTTACCACATGAAGTTTCCAAATTGGAAAACCCTCAAGACTGTTTAAGTAGGATACCATCCATAAAAAGAAGTAATTTTCATTCTTTATTTAAGAAAATATTTGATGGTCTGATTAATGGCGTAAAAATAGCATTACCATTAGCTGACAGGTACAAATTTCATATGTTTGTTTAAAATAAATTTAGTTTTTAAAATAAATTATTCTTTTACTAAATTTCTTGCAGAGATCCAAAAAGAATAAAATTGTGGGATGAAGTTGCTTCTAATATTCAGAAGTTGGTTCAAATATGCAAAACTCTCACTACAAAAAATAATGTATTAATTTTTTTGAAACATATGTCCATAATATTGAAATACTTTTTAAACCAAGGAATGCCAGTTCTTGAACACAATTTGAAATATCAAACAGACGATGTAACCAAAATATTAAAAATGATTCAAGGTATAATTTAAAATTTTAAGGCAGATAAATACAGTACACTACAATTTACTGAATTCTGTAACATGATTTTCTAAATGTGTGCAAAAATACTCAAATTTTAGGAGGTACAAGATATTTGCATACAATATGCTGTGATAGTGTGGAAAAAAAAGATCTTACATTAACAAAATATGTTCCTGCAGCTAAGTCTATATTGGAAAGATTGCTTTACAGTGTAAAAGGAATGTTAGTTCTTAATAACAGTTCTACTGCTTTTTGGATGGGCAACCTTATTAATAAAAATTTAGATGGCCAAGAAATTATCTCACAGGTTAATTATTTTATTTGTATTATCTAAATATCAAATTGTATTTATTATATCGAACATTTTCTTATTTTCTTTCTTTTAGAATTTATCCTCGGAAGAAAGTACCTTACCAACTTCCGATATTATTGATGAAGCGTGTAATGATGTATCATCGGATATATTAGAGAGTGATCCCAATGATGATCTAACAGATGAAGATCTATAGTAAATTTTGTTTACAAAACGTTACAAGATTGGTATCAATATTATGAAAAACATATTCATTGCATTAGTAAAATATATATTCTCATTCATACATAATATATTTTTAAAAAATAAGAAATATCATTACCATTGTAAATGTTCGAAAATATCAATAATATGGCTAATATTCAACTATACTAGCAAGGTATATGTCCCAAAGATATGAGTAAAGTGGACCCAATAAAGTTCCTTTCATTCCCACAATTATTCATTTTGCTTACGTTAAATTAAATTATCTAATTATTCATTAAATTATATTAAATTGTTACTAAATGTTTGACGTTTCCATGTTAAATCCGGCATAAGTGTTTCTTCAACAAATGTTATTTCATTGTTTCCCTTTATTAACAGTATCGAATGAGTCCTTGTACAGTATTCTATGCCAGATATAAAAATTGAACTAAGTTCTTCGTATTTTGCTGAACGTCGTTGCAGTACTGGATCTGGTAAATATCTGTGAGCAATAATGTATTAAAATATAATCAATCTATGTAAATAATATTGGAATATAATTCATAATACTTTTCATTTAACAAATACCTTTCTTTTGACTTTAAAAATGTCAACAACTTCTCAATAAGATCTGCTTGCTCTGATACTGTAGCATTCATTACGATACTTTTGAATTTCTCTTTTCCTTCTTCAACTTTTTTAAAGGGAATGTCAAAGTCACTGTTGCTAAAACCTGATATTGCATCCTGAGTTGTAGAAGGTCCTATTGATTTCGTGGAACTACTGAGACAATTGACATTTGCATTGCTAAATAAATAAATATAAAATAATATATTTACTAATAGGAAAAATACAGTTGTTAAAAGTTTGGAATCTATTTGCTTACTATAAATTAATTAAAATCAAATTATATGGATTGTACGGTTGACTACTTTTATTTTCTTTGTGTAATTTATTTAAATATGAAACTGCGGAATCATTTGAAGTAATGAAGTCAGGTACTAATGACCCACGACCCTTTTTAGGAGTGGCAAATGCACTTTCTTCACCAGGTAAATTTAGTACAACGCCAGCTTTTCCTTTTAATGATAGAGCTAGCCATGTTCCACCTTCTTTACCGGGTTCCATATCAACTCCTGATAAATTGAAAATTATTTTAATCTTAAATGTAAAGTTAATATTATTTTAATTAATTCCATTTGTAAAAAAAAACAATTTTAGAACAGTCAATTGTAGTCATAATAATTATTCATAATAATCATATGTGATATATGAAGTCTACTTAAAACATTTTAAGTTAGCTTATAGAAATTTATGCAAGTTACATTTTTTAGAAATAATTATCTGCCTAAATGATTATAAATTTAGACTAATCAAACAATTGAGAAAAGCAGAAAATTTGGAAAATAGAAACTTAAAATACTATTGTAACTTTGTTCAATGCTAAAAATTGTAAGAATATTTATTTGTCAAAGTAATTACTGTAAAAAGGATCATTTTAACAATGAAAAATTAAGCTTAGAGAAACTTTCACAAATCTTGATTTTGGGACCTTTTGAACGATCTACATAACATTTATAATACATAATTCATGAAGGAAAAACA